GTAATTAATGTTGCTTTTCTCTAATTGGCTATGAGTTTGGTTTGCATCTAATTGGCTTAAAAAATCAGGTATCAGAAACTATTGACAAACTGTTTCTGCTAAGGCATGTCAAAAATATCTTATATATACCTAATATAGGTATGGACTGTTCTTGCTATTGTATTTTATTAATACAGTGTTTATATCTCCAATCAAACCTGTTATTGCTTACTGTGTAAGAACCTCAAGTCCATATCAAATTTTTTTCTTGTTCTTGTGAGTGAGATTCAAGAGTGAAAGGTTGAACTGTATTTGTTTTAAAATGTATAAAGGTGTTTTTTAAAGCATTATTTAATTTCGATTGGGATGACAAAGTAGCATTTACCTAAAGGCAGTACACATCCATAGAGTTATCTATAAATTATGTCTGCATTTTTCTTGAAATTTTTCCTCTCCTTCTTCCTCTTGTCCCAGCTTGTCTAAGTTGTCATAATCCTCCCCTCTTTGGATGCCCAAGAAAACGTGACTCATGCTTAAAACTTTTATCACTTTATGAATGATAAATACCATAAGTAGAAATGAAACATACAAAAAAATTTTGAAATAAATATTATAAAATGCATAAACTGTTTAAAATTTAACAAAATAAATGGATGTCCACTGAAGCTCAACCAGTCCCCCTCCCTCTTATCCGACTCATCTTAACCCCCTCCCCTTCCAGTGTGGATGTCACTTATGGACAGTCTTGGTTTCAACTGTATTAACTCCTCCATCATTTTCACAGGAACTTTATTTATGTGGTGTTTTCTCTTTTACAAGAAAAGATAAAATGAAAAAGAAAATGTAAATCAATTAAACAAATCTGTAGTATAAAATCAAATCTAGCTTTCTAGCTTTATGTAAAGAATTAATTGCAGTTTATCAATTTAAATGCTGTATACATATATAAACAGAATATATAAAATAAATATTACAGATCTAAGACACAAGCAAGATAACATTATCTGCTGGTATTAAAAATTTTAATAGCAGAGAGAATTTATTTTTTGTATTTTATCATGTTTTTCCAAGCAAATCTATTCCATCTGTTTGAAAAGACTGATTAATTTGATGGATGGAAGAAATGAATAATGAACTATATTATTATTCTTAAACTCTATATGAATCTAATATACAGTATATATGTCACAATTTATCTACATTTATATTGTCACAGATGGTAGGAACACATTAACTCCTGAATATATTTCAAGTTAAATAAAATTGAAGTCTAATAAAGGTTTATTAATCCTAATAAAACAAATGGGAGATTATTTAATAAACTTTTTTTATTTTCTTATATTGTATACTTATATAAACAAATCTTAAATTTAATGAAAACTATCTTAATTGTAAACATTTTCTAATTATCAAATTATTTTTAAGTTGACATTAAATCCAATAGCTTTCATTAATCTTTTATTAATTTAAACATTAAATATATTAAACTGTATTTGAAAAATCATTTTCAACTATAGTTAAATTTCCTCCAAATTATATAAAAAATAAAAATATTCCTTTAAATTATTATTACATGTAACAAAAGCATTTGTATTTAATTAAAATATACAGAAAAAAATCAATAAAATATTATTAAATTAATCTACAATAATCATTAGATAAGTTGTTTATTTATTTATTTATTTATTTACAGAATATATATTTATTATTCATTACATAAAAATTAAATTATTTTTAAATATTTAAAGGATATAGTTTAAAATATAAATATTACAGATATAATGATAACCAAATTTTTATAACATGTTTTTAAAAAACCTTATATCCAATATTCCTGATCAGTAATAGAAACATCATCTTAATCGGTTTTTAACCGATTCATATTCACTTGTTTTTCAATTCTAATCAAGTACCGTGTAATTATATATTATAACTGGAACAATGACAAATAGGTATTATTTGTCATTGTTATAATCATGCCATAACTATGAACTGAAATCATGATAAATGATGAGCATGAATCAATCCATTTATTTCATTCAGTTCTACTAAATCATTTCCACTCAACTTACTATTAAATACATTTTTGTTTTTTTTTTCTATATATATATATATTACTTAACTCATCATCTGTTATTAAAAATAATAAATTGTTTCTTTTTAACATACAGTGACACATTAGTTTACTTTTGAAATTTTTTCATAACTTAAAAGTATAGAGTTAAGAACTTTAAACAATAATTCTCTTTTCTTTCCAGAATATTTTCAAGTAGAGTATTTTTTATTAAAGTGTAGTAACTAAGTAAAAATTTAGTGAGACATTAAAATACATAAATTTGAAAAAAGACAAATTTCTGTATTTCTTACATCAAAGTTTGTTCAATTAAAGACAAAAAACTAAGTTCAAATGAGTTTTTTAAAAATATTTTCTTATATTGAAAACTGATGACAAACAAAATGTGTATTTTTAATTTCTAATTCTAAATCAATTTCTAGCAATGATTTAATCAAAATTTGTATTATTTTTTTTTATTTCATAGTTATAGTTTACCATTAGAAATTATAAAAAGATAATACCATCAGCTTTACAGTTAAATGTCTGTAATTACTATAGCCTCTCATAAAGTGGAATTTGTTTTCTGAAAGAAGAGAAATTTATGTCAACTTTAGCTAATTTAAATACCAACATTAAAAAAAGATGACAATGATAAAAAAAATGTTTAAAAATCATGTTTATATATGATGTAAAATGCTAATTTAATTGCTAACTATAAAAATATTCAAATGATTCAAGTCTTAAATATGTGTAATATAATCTAAGTACACTGTATTCTAATGAAGACTTAAGATAAACAACTAAACAAAAATCATTAAAACTTACAAAATTATATTTAATGCAACTATTTTAAATGGAAGCATGAAAATTTAGCAATTTTTATTTGCTTGCTGAATACTTTTTAATACATATAAAGCAGGAAAAGAAAAACCAGACTACTCAAAAGTACAAAGATATTTCTTAAATATGTATCAAGAATAAAAAT